AGCAGCACGTATGCCACTCGCTACCTGCATAGAAAATTCAACAGCAGCAGCAGCAGCAGCAGCAGCAGCGGTTGCAGCAAATGCACTGGTAGGTGCGGCTGCTCTGTTCTTGCCTGCCAGTGTTAGGTGCACCAGCAGCAAGGGCAGCAAGTGCTGCTGCTACCTCAATAAGAGCTGTGGCTGTAGGGAAGCAAAAAGAGCAGCAGCAGCAGCAGCGAGAGCAGCTACTGGAGGGAAGCAGCACGGGGGGCCCCACATGCAAGCGCTACGGTGTATAGACAGCCAACAACTACAACAGCAGCAGCAGACAAAAATCATCTTCTTATGCCCGTGTATGGTGGAATTGCTCACAGACACGTAGTGGTAGAGGCAGCTGTTGCTGTAGCTGCTGCTGCTGCCGCAGCTGCTGCTGTAGCGATTGCAGCAGCAGCAGCAGCAGCAGTATAAAGGGCAGCAGCAGCCTTGTTGGCAAAAGAGTGCAATATGTGGTTGTTATTAGCAATTAATAATGTTTAGGTAGTGTAGCTGTTGAACAGCAGCAAGAGGATGAGCAGCAGCAGCAGCAGCAGAGAGCAGCAGCAAATGCATGCACTAGCTGTTGGTGGCCCATTGGTTCGTGCGGCAGCAGCAGCAGCAGCAGCAGCAGCAAAGATGATGATTTCTTTCTATGTTAATTAAATAAATCTTTTATTTTTATTTCTTCTTATTTGCTGCTAAGGACTACAAAGGTGTCTATACTCGTGTGCGAGCAGCAGCAGCAGCAGCAGCAGAGCAGCAGCAGCAGAGCAGAGCAGGAACACAGCAACAGCAACAACAGCAGCAACAGCAGCAGCAGCAGCACATGGGGAAGGGACAGGTTTATGCATCAATAAAAGACATGAGGTTTCCTTGGGTGTCTCCTCATAGGCCTCCCTAGGCAATCTGCCCTAGCAGCAGCAGAAGCAGCAGCAGCAGCAGCAGCAGCAGCAGCAGCAGCAGCAGCAGGAGCATTAGCAGTACCCTCCTCCTCCCGTTCCTCCCCCTGAACAACAGTATCAACAACACCAGCAACACAACCACCAGCAGCAGCAGCAGCAACACCAGCAGCAGCAACACCAGCAACACCAGCAGCAGCAGCAGCAGCGGCAGCAGTAGCAGGAAGAAGAAGAGGAGATGGGGAACGCAGCATCTAATCCTGTTCTTCCTTCTCCTCCTTCCCCAGGAGCAACAAAACAATTAACAGAAGAACAAAGACAATTAATAGAAGATTATCCTTTTTTGCATGCATTGGGGTGTATAGGCAGCTCACGTTATAGTAATAGTTTTCTTTGTGTATCTATTAATGATGGCATAATTTTTGTTAAACTTTTTACTAATAAAATAAATAATAATAATAATAATTCCTCCTCCTCCTCCTCCTCCTCTTCCTCTTCCTCTTCCTCCTCTTCCTCCTCCTCCTCCTCCTCCTCCTCCTCCTCTTCTTCTTCTTCTTCTTCCTCCTCCTCCTCCTCCTCCTCTTCTTTTTTATTTAATATAATTAATCATCATACCCAATTATTAATTCATAAGGCAATTATTACATTAGATCTATGTCCTAATATGTAAGTGTCTCCTTTTTTTTTTGTCTCCTTTTTTTTTGTCTCCTTTTTTATGTCTCCTTTTTATTGTCTCCTTTTTATTGTTTATTCTCTCCTTTATTATGCTTATTCTCTCCTTTTTTTGTCTCCTTTTTTTGTCTCCTTTTTTGTGTCTCCTTTTTTTTGTCTCGTTTTTTTTGTCTCCTTTTGTCTAATTGTGTCTCCTTTTTATTGTCTCCTTTATTGCCTACCTTGCTGTCTCCTTTTTGTCTACATTTTAGCTGTGTGGTTGCCACAGCAGCAGCAGCAGCAGCAGAAGCAGCGACAGCAGCAACAGCAGCAGCAGCAGCAGCAGCATTGGGAGCAGCAATAGCAGCAGCAGGAGCAACAGTTGTGTATATCTGTATTTTTATTTCTTTGTTTTTCTCTCTTTCTCTATTTATTTAATTTATCTCCCCCTTTATAATTAATTAATTAATTAATTAATTAATTAATTAATTAATTTATTTATTTATTTATTTATTTATTTATTTATTTATTTATTTGTGTGTATATATGTACTCAGTTGCCCTACGGATCGTTTATTATCTAGCGAGCGTTCTTGTATATTAATAAGGAGACACTTTAATACAACTGTCTCCTTACGTCTGCATGCATTACCTGTCCCTTCTTATTGTCTCCTTATATATTATATAAATCAATTATTATTATCTATTATACAATTGCATGCATTGGGGCTTTGGCATGCAGATATAAAAACAGAGAATCTTGCTCTCTCCTCTTCTTCTCATCTTTTTCTTATTGATCTATCTCCTTATAAATATTTGTCTCCTTTTCTTCATGATATGCGTACCTTCTGTCTCCTATTTGAATCTAATTATAGATTTAGATGTTATCTTGCACCAGAGAGGTAATAAACCCTAAACCCTAAACCCTAAACCCTAAACCCTAAAAAATTCACCATAAGCCCTAAACCCTAAAAAATAAATAATACAAAATAAACACTAAACAATAAAAGATAATAAATAATAAACAATAAACAATTAAACATGGATAGTAAACCCTTAATTATAACCGTCACCAAACCCTAAACCCTAAACCCTAAACCCTAAGAAACCTAACATTTTGTTTGTATATAGATGTCTCCTTTCCTCTCTATCTATTTATATATTTTTATATCTCCTTATGTGTCCTTATGTCTCCTTATGTCTCCTTGTGTCTCCTTGTGTCTCCTTATGCCTGTTTATTATTTTTATAGATTTAAGGATGATGAGGAGACAGTAGATGAGTGTCTCCTTGTTCATCAATCACAAGAAATGTTTTCTGTCTCTTGTACCTTAGCAGAAATATTCTTAAGGGGTGCAGATGTTATTGATTTATTACGTCTATTAGAGCTTAGGAGTTGGTATACAGCAGCAAGGGAGCAGCAGCAGCAGCAGCAGCAGCAGCAGCAACAGCAACAGCAACAGCAACAGCAACAGCAGCAGCAGCAAAAGGAGCAGGAGGAAGAGAAAGGGCAAGCACAGCAGCAACAGAAACAGCAGCAGCAACAGCAACGCCTGGATACAGATACTCAAGCTAGAGCTTCTCCTTCCACTAAGGCTAGCAGCAGCAGCAGCAGCAGCAGCACAGGTGGTGCTAGCTCGTCTCGTCGGCCTAGGAGCGCAGCAGCTGCAGCAGCCGCAGCAGCTGCAGCAGCAGCAAATATACAGGAGGAAATATCTGCATTTCTTCCTGGGCTACGTGCTGCTCCGTTGTCTCCTCCTCCTCCTGCTGCAGTGTTGCAGACATTAGAGGGAATTCCCTGCAGCAAGGCGCGGCTGCTGCTGCTGCATGCAGGTCTGCTGCAGCTACCAGAGAAGAGACTAACAGCAATGCAGACACTGCTGCTATGGGTACAGCATGTCTTCCCTCCTTGTTTTATTAATTATTTCTTGTGTCTTACTACTGTGCTGCTGCATCCTGCCTACCAGCAGCCGGACCTCCGTCTGCTGCTGCTCAAGGAGTACCTTGCGGATATTTTTTTAGCCTTATTAGAGCAGAGGCCGCAGCAGCCGCAGCAGCAACTGCAGCAACTGCAGCAGCTGGTGCAGCAGCAACTGCTGAAACACCAACAACACCCACCAGAGATGTACCAGAAGATGAAGCAGCAACAGAAGCAGGAAGGGGAACAGCAACAGCAGCAACAGCAGCACCAACAGCAGCAGCAGCAGCAGGAGGCACAGGCGCATGAACAGCTACTGGTGCAGCTGCTGCGGGAAGCTGTCGGGAGAGAGACACTGGAGGTTGACAGCTGCGTTGCTCAGCAAGTAAGGAGACAACATTTTGCATGCATTGAGGTGTATATGCAGCTAGTTAGGAGACACATCCTCCCGTTGCAGCACAGCAGCAGCAAAGTATTGCATGCGCTGGTGTTGTGTCTCTTTTCCTCAGACCGTGTTAAACATGGCTGTCTCCATGCCTCAGGAGTCCCCTGCTGCTGCTGCACTGCTGGAGGCGTGGAGTGCTGGAGGTGCTGCAGCAGCAGAAGCAGCAGCAGCAGGAGCAGCAGCAACAACAGCTGCTGCTGCTGCTGCTGCAGTGCCACTAGCAGGTGGTCGAGATCTGCGTCCAGTTGGAGCTACAGCAGGACCGGGCGGAGGATCGGCAGCAGCAGCTGCAGCAGCCGCAGCAGCAGCAGCAGCAGCAGCAGCAAGCATAGGACAGGCAACAACAGAGGAGCGTTTCTTTGCTGCAGAAGCAGCACAAGAAGCAGCAGCAGCAGCAGCACTCAGCAGCAGTCTCCCTCATCCTGTCCTAAGTGCAGCAAATGCAAGAAACTTCGGTTGGGGACTTTTGGGTCTTTGGGCTCGTTGCTACGAACAAACTGTCCTATGCAAACGAGTAAGTAGCTGCTAGCTAGGTAGCTAGCTAGCTAGCTAGCTAGCTAGCTAGCTAGCTAGCTAGCTGACTGGCTGGCTAGCTACCCAGGTGGCTTGTTAGTTAGGTTGGTGGGTAGCTAGGCGGCAACCTGTGTACCTAGCTATCTAGAGCTAGCTAGCTGGCTCTCCTGGCACTCCTTCGTGGGGCTCCCTTTTGCTTGTCAGTGCTTCTGCTGCTGCTGCTGCTACTGCTGCTACTGCTGCTGCTGCTGCTGCTGCTGTTTGTATGTGCTTGCAGCCGGCATTGGCGGTCCTTGGGGAGATAGAGGGTGATAAAATCCGCCTATACGACGACCTGTTCAGGCAGCATGGGCAACATAACCCAGCTGCCGCTGCTGCTGCTGCCGGTGCTGAAGGCCTAGGGACTAGCAGCAACAGCAGCGGCAGCAGCAGTCCAGTGTATCCGCCTTGGGAGCGCGTCGCTGAGCTTCTGGGCCCCCCTGAGCTTCCCGTTGCTTTGTTTGGTTCTCCAGCAGCAGCAACAGCAGCAGCAGCAGCAAGCAGGGAGTTGGGGGTGCCATTTGTACTGCGCACGTACTTGGAGACAGGGGAGACAGGAGAGACAGGAGAGACAGGGGGGACTAAGGAGAGACAGGCAAACTTCTGTTGCAGCGGGTGTCTCCGCAGCAGCAGCACAGTGGTTATATCGGAGATAATTGGGCTGTCTCTGCAGCAAACAAGTAGCGCAAGGGTCCGTGCATGCGGGGTGTCTCTCTTAGGTTTCCTATCAAGGGTAGCAACAGTAGATGTGCTGCTGCAGTCTTTGCTGCCTTTCTTAGCTCATCATCTAGGAGACCATTTCCCTATTGTACGTGTTGCTGCAATTAAGGCCCTTGCTGCTGCGCTGCTGCAGCTGCATGCAGCAATGCAGCATACAGCACTATGCCCAAAGGGAGGGTTTAGGGCTGGTCTCTGTGCCATTTGTGGCACCAACTGCAGCAGCAGCATCAGCAGTAGCCAGAGTTATTCTTCCCGTGGGATTGCTGGTGGTGGTGCAGCAGCAGTAGCAGCAGCTGCTGCTGCTGCAGGATTGGGGCCAGCAGCAGCAGTAAAGACCGGGGCGGTCAGACGTGGTGGCAGGGGAGTAACACCGCCACAAACGCAGCAACAGAAGCAGCAACACCTACGGGTCCCAGCAGCAGCAGAGGAGACAACGCATGCAGATGCTGCTGCCCTTTTTTGTGGTTATATTCTTCCTGCTGTTCATAGATTAAGTGCTTCTGATCCTGATCCTTCTGTCCGTGTTGCTGTTACGGAGTTCCTGCCTCTTATGCTGCTAGCTGTTAAGGCCTGTCTGCATGCACAGGCACTCATGGGTATCCTTAAGCAAGATCAGCAGCAGCAGCAGCAGCAACAGCAACAGCAGCAACAGCAGCAGCACCAGCAGCAGAAACAGCGGCAACGCGCGGCTTCTGGGCATCAGGATGCCGCCACAACACCTTCGATGGAAGCGCAGCACACCACGCCAGCAGCAACGCCGGCGGCTGCAGCAGCTACTAACAGCAACAGCAGTAACAGCAGCAGCAACACCAGCAGCAACAGGAATGCATGTACAAGCAGCAGCAGCAACAGCAGCAGCAACCAAAATGGTTTCATCAGCCACCCCAATTCCATTAACTCCCCAAGAAGAATGGAGACAGATGGTGCTGCTGCAGGTGGAGCTGCTGCAGCAGCAGCTGCTGCTGATACAGGTGCTGCTGCAGCACGTGCTGCTGCTCCTGCTGATGCTGCGTTGCTGGGGGGAGAGGATATGTGTGGTGGGAGCACTTCCCTCGCAACAGACTGTCTCCTCGATTGTCCAACAACTGCAGCAAAAGTGTCTCCTTTTGGTGACTCTCCGGCGAGCGCAGCAGCAGATCCTGCTGAAGCACCGTCTGCTGCTGCTGCTGCCGCCGCCGCCGCCGCATCTCCGGCTTCTCCAGCTGCTACTGCTTCTCCAGAGCCTGCTGCTGCTGCAGCATCGAGGGCTGGTGCAACACCTGCTGCGTCACCTACTGCTGCTGCAGCGCCTACTGGTGCTGCAGTACCTACTGCTGCAGCAGGACCTGGTGCTGCAGCAGCAGCATGGAATCGCTTATGGGAACGAGCAGAGCAGCATCTAGGAGACGCGATAAGCAAGTTGCATGCAGCAGTGCTGCCTACACTGCAGCAGCAGCTAACATGCCGTCCTATAGAGCAGCGCCTGGCGCTGCTGCGTCCCCTTGCTTTGCTGGCAGCAGTGTTAGGGCCGCAGCAAACGCATGCGCTGCTGCTGCCGTACCTCATCGTACAGCTCAATGATCCCTGCTCGGGTGTACGTGCTGCTGTTGTTAGGGCATTAGGGGGATTAGGGACTGTCTCCTTATCTTATACAGCAGACAGCTGTATTGTCCCCTGCTGCGAGCAGTGTCTCCAAGACCCTCAAGAAGAAGTTGCTGCTGCTGCTGCTGCTGCACTAACACAGCTAGCAGCAGATGGGCTGCTGCTGCCCTCCTCTGACGCCACCTTCAGACTCCTCTCACAGCGTGTTATACCCTTGCTGCTGCACCCCTCCATGCTGCTGCGCTCCGTGCTGCTGCAGCTCCTTGCTGCACTGGAGCAAAACTGGGGAGCAGCAAAGACGTACGCCTTGCTGCTGCCGCTGCTGCGCCCCGTCCTTAAGCGGCCCGCGTTGCTGCTGTCGGTCGATGAGGTGGCAGCACATCTACGTCCTCCCCTCTCCCCTTGGCTGCTGCAGCAGCTGCTCCAACAAAAGCAGCTCCAACCCGAGCAGCACGAGCAGCAGTATCACCATCAGCAGAAGCAGCAGCAGCAGCAGCGTCCAGGTACTATATCCGCACGCCTCCTTTCCCTCCTTTTCTGTCCTGCAGTCCTTAAGGCTGCTAGTAGCAGCCAAAGGAGACACCGGCGGCCTGGGAAGAAGAGAAGGAGACACAAGACTGCCCACGTTGCATGCAGCAATAGCAACAGCCACAGAAGCAGCAGCAGCAGCAGCGACAGCAGCAGTGATATCGGCATCAGCAGCAGTAATGACAGCAGCATAAGCGAGGGCAGCTGCAACAGCGACAGCAGCAGCAGCCAGGAAGGGACTTATCTGCTGCAGCAGACAGCAACAGGAAAGCAGTCTGCTTCAGCAGCATCTGCTGCAGCAGTTGCTGCAGATGTGTCTCCTCTAAAGAGACTGCGGGGGTTAGGGCTATGGAGGGAGATTGTTCAGGAGGCGGAGAAGCATGCTGTTGATGCTAGTGCTGCTGCTGCTGCTGCTGGCATGCAGCCAGGCGGGTCTCCTCCTCTAGTGGCGACTGCCAGACAGGCGGACAAGGATCAACTGCAGCTGCAACAGCTGCTGCTGCAGCAACAACAGCAACAGGAGGCAGCAGCAACAGTTCAAGAACTGGTAGAACTGCTACACAGTGTAGGCGCAGAAAACCGGTACGCGCTGCTGCTGCTGCTTCCATCGCTGCATGCTCTTCGTCAGGCAGCAGCAGCAGCAGCAAATGCAGCAGCAGCAGCAGCTGTTGCCGGGGAGAGTCCCCCTGGAGGTCTTCTTGAGTGTCCCCTTAGCTGCAGTATGGAAACCTTATCTGCAGCAGAGGAGACACTTGAGGTGTCTCCTCTGCTGCAGCATGGAAGACCGCGCTGCTGCCTTGTGGGGCCCCGAGAGAGTAAGCTGCTTCTACTTCCCTTTGCTGCTGCCGTTATATAGCTAGCTAGCTAGCTAGCTATATAGTTATATAGCTAGATAGCTATACAACTAGATAGCTGCTGCCCCTCCTAGCCAGCCTGGTAGCTGGCTAGCTGATAAGATACAGGAGAGGAGACGGGGTCTTGTTGTGAATGTCGCTTTGTTACTGTTGCTGCTGCTGCTGCTGTTGCTGCTGCTGCTGCTATTGCTGCTGCTGCTGCTCTGTGTTCTGCTGCTGCAGCGGCAGCGCTAATAAGACATATGCTTCCTCAGATATCTGCCCCACGGCAGGTCTTGACAGCAACAAGATTGTCTCCTGTCCCTCCTGTCTCCCCTCCTCTATCTCGTGTCTCCTTATGGGGTCTCCTTGCGGAGACACTGCTGCCTCACGTAACGCGGCTGGTGCTGCAGCAGCAGCAGCTGCTGCTGAATGGCTGTCTATGGCCTGAAGAGATCTATGCGGCAGCAGGCAGCAGCGGACGCGGCAGCAGCAAAACCCGTCGCAGCCACAGCAGCAAGAACAGCAGCAGCAGCCGCAGCAGCAGCAGTAGGAGCTGCATTATGGATTGTCAGGTGCAGCAGCAGCAGCAGCAATCGCTAGCTGTTGCTCTTAGCTGCGTGTCTCCACCCGTTGTGTCTCATGCTGCAGCAAAAGCTGCTCTAACTGCTGCTACAGCAGCAGCAGCAGCAATAGCAGCAGCTCTAGCAAGACAATTGGGGATGTCTCCTCCGCAGCCGCTGCTGCTGCAGTCCCTCTTAGGTCTATCCAACAACCGCAAGGTACAGACACCTGGCGTTTTGCTGCTGCTGCTGCTGCTCCTGTTGCTGTGATATGTGTTGCTGCTGTTGCAGTTAAAGAGTGCATGCAACAGCAGAAGGCTGCTGCTGCTCCAGTATCTCATATCATATCTGTCTTCTTCTGTCTCCCCTTTGCTTGTCTCCACTGTCTCCTCTTTGCTGCTTCTGCTGCTGCGCATGCAGGACTGTTCTCCTCATTCAATACAAATGAGCTGCGGGTCTCCTGTTGTCTCCCCTGGTTATTTTTCTGCTTTGCTTGCTGCAGCAGTACCTGGTGCTGCTGCCGCTGCTTTGAGCACACAGGCGCCAACTCCTGCTGCAGTTGCTACTGCGTTGCAGCAGCTGCTGCTGAAGACGGCAGCCGATTCTGCATCTCCTGCGAGCAGCAGCGGGTGTACGCTGTCAGCAGCAGCTGCTGCTGTGGCAGCAGCAGCAGCAACAGCAGCTGGAGCAGCAGGAGGAAGATTAGGAATATCTGCCGATATATTAGAAGGCAAGCGTCTTTTGGGTACAACAGCAACACTGCGGCTGTCTCCTCATCGTGGCATCAGCAGCAGCAGCACGTGTGCTGCTGCAGGTGTCCCTCCACCGCTGCAGCGCGACTGGCGCTGCGTGCTGCTAGGCCTGCCAAGGAGACCCTCGTTAGAGGTAGGGAGGCTGCAGCGGCCTGATGATAGCTGCTTAAGTCTTTATCCTTATCAGCAGCAGCAGCAGCGGCTATGGCGTCCCCTTGACGACTTTGCTGCTGCTGCAGAAAGGAGACGGCTTGCTTTCTCCACCAGTCTTTATAGCGTGGCACCCCATGTTGCTGCTGCTGATGCATCCAAGATGCAGCAGCAGCAGCTGAATGGCACCAATGGCAGCAGCAGCACTACCACCAGTAGCACCGGCAGCAGCAGCCTCACCAGCAGCAGTATTTTATCTGCTGCACTACCTATACCTCGCAGCAGCAGCAGCAGCACCAGAGGTGTCTCCTCCTTAGACTCAGGTATGGGCCTAAGGGGCCCCTCCTCTCGTACCAATGAGGATACAGCAGCATTTATGCTGTCACGGTGGGGTCGGGGAACTGTAGATACAGCTGGGGGGCCCCTAGGGACAGGAGGGGCCCCAGGGGCCCCTGGAGGAGCCCAGCTGCCGCTACCGGACCTGTGCTGCTGGCGCCCCACAGGGCAATTTGTATGCAGTTGGTCAGTGTTTGAAGCAACAGAGGGGAGAGCAGCAGCAGCAACAGCAGCAGCAGCAGGATTAAGCCTAGCAGCAACGGACGATGGGTGTCTCCTTGCAGCAATGCCTTTATCCGTAAAAGGGGCAACTATTCGTGCGTGGAGGGCAGCAGCATTAACAGCAGCAACACGACGTAAGCTGCTGCTGCTGATGCTGCTGCTGCTGCTGTCGTTAGCATTATCTGTTGTCTTTGCCTTTGTGTACATCTAGTGCCTGTCCTTATTCTATATATATAATATATAATATATAATATACTATATATTATAATATATATTTTTTTATGTCTGTGTGCGCATGCAGCCCCATTAGTAGGCCAATGGCATCTTCCTTCGCATATTTATTTGACGGCGCATTGCGTCTTACAGAATACGAAGAGTCTTATCTTGGGGACATCGGATGGGGCATGCCATTTGCTGCGGTTAGACAGCAGCAGCAGCTGCTGCAGCACCAGCAGCTGCAGCAGCAGCACCAGCAGCAGCAGCAGCAAAAGCGGAACAGCAAATATATCTGGGGCCCTACTAAGGATGCAGACACCCCGTGTCAGTCCCGCCCCATTGACAGCAAGGCCTAGTGTGCTGATGGGACTACTGCAGCAGCAACTGCAACAGCAGCAGCAGCAGCAGCAGCAGCAAGGTGTAAAAGGTATATCTGTACCAGCAGCAGCAGCACGTGCTGCACTATCTCTATCTCGTTTATTATACAGCGCACCATGGGATAGAGGATCTACAAGACGGTCATGTGCTGCAACAGGATGTGGTACTGTAGGAGTTGCTGCAGCTAGTCGTGCAGCATCAGCAGCAGCAGCAGCAGCAGCAGCAGGTAGTGGTGTAGCATGTATAAGTCATCAAGATACATCATTAGAACAAATAATTATTTACTCATTAAGGAATGGTCTCCTTGGGGGTTGGGATATGCGTATAGCTGCTCCTATATTTATAAAGGAGACACCTCCATGGTTAGGGTCTCCTGCAGCACAGGCATTAGAAGGAGACACCCGATGGTTGCTGCTGGGGACAACAGCAGGTTTGCTGCTGCAGTATGATTTACGCATGCAGACTATACTAAGGGCTTGGCAACTGCAGCCACCTGTTGCTGTTAAACAATTACTCGTTGTTAGTCCTCCTGTTGCTGCTGCTGCCCAGTGGAGCAGCAATGCAGCACTTAGGGGACTGCAGCAGCAGCAGCAGCAGCAGATAGATAGTCCTACTTGCTTCATGCTCGCTCTTGTTGATCATGAGGCCTTCCCCTTGCTGCTGCTAGACATGCAACGGGGGACTGTTGTTAGCGCTTATGCGTCCTCTTGCTTTGCAGACACCACAGCAGCAGCAGCAGCAGCAGCAGCAGCAGGAGCTGGTGCTGCAGGCGACTACTACGGTGTTCCTCGCCTGGTTCCTTTGCCTGTTGATGCTTTGCTGCTGCCTTCTGCATGCAGCAACAATATCCTGCAGGAGCCATGGGAGGGGGGACGCTTAGGGTCACATACACTTGAGGGGAGCAGCAGCAGCAGCAGCAGCAGCAGCAGCAGCGGCACCTCAGCACACAGCACAAAGTGTATATGGGCCCCCCCTCCCTTGAGGGGCCCCTCTTCGTTTGTTCTCTCTGCTGGTGAAGATCTGTGTGTGCGCTACTGGGACTTGGCTGAGGAGCGTGCTGTCTTAGCAGCAAGGCTAGGAGACACGCAGCAGCAGCAGCAGCAGCAATGGCAGCCTTGGCAGTGGCAGCAAGGAGGAGGGGGAGCAGCAGCAGGAGGGAGCTTGGAGACACCTGCTGCAGCTGTCTCCTCTGATGTTGTATTCCTTGATAAAGATCTTGTTAAGTCTTATTGTATTTTGGGGCCCCCCAATGCATGCGGCTGCCGTGAAGGAGACAGCAGCGGAGGGGGGGGGCCCCTTACTGCTTCCCTCAGTGTAGGGGGTGTACATGTGCTGCAGCAGGTTTGCTGCTCCTCTCCTCAAGGTCGTCGTTTCTTAAGACATGCCCCGACAGCAGCAGCTGCTGCTACTGCAGCAGGAGCTGCAGCAGCAACAACAGCAGCAGGTTCAGCTGCTGCTGTACCTTATCCTCCTGCTGGGCTAGCCGCCAGAGGAGACAGCTGGGAGTCCCTTCTTGGTGCAGCAGACTCAGGGGCAGAGGAGGCAGCAGCAGGTGTCTCCTCAAGGGAGACGGCAGATGGATTACTTCGTAATGGTAGGGGATTGTTAACATTCAACTCCAGCTGCAGCAGCAACTGCAACACAAACAGCAGCAGTAGCAGCAGCAGCAGCAGCAGTAGGGGGTTCGGGTGTACAGAAGGGGGTTGCTGCTGCACGCCTCCGCATGCAGGCCCCAGCTTTGCTTCGTGGGCTCCTGAATGGGGGGAAGAGGAGGGGCCCCCGCGGGGCCCCCGAGGGTTTGGGGGGCCCCTGCCTATACACCGCGATGCTATAACCGGCATCGCGGTAGTAGGTCTAGTAGACCTTTTTCTTGTTACAGCAGGCAGAGACGGGGTTGTTAAAGTGTGGTGTTAAACAACCCCACCAACCCCACCAGACTCAGCAGCAGAAGCAGCAGCAGCTGCTGCTGCTGCAACTGCTGCAATCAGACTGCTCGTAGCTGCTAGAATGTAGCAGCCAATAATATGGGAGTATTGTACAGCACGGTCACAGCGCTTGCTGCAGCAGCAGCCAGTGCTGCTGCAGCAGCAGCCAGTGCTGCAGCAGCAGCAGCCAGTGCTGCAGCAGCAGCCAGTGCTGCTGCAGCAGCAGCGCTTGCTGCAGCAGCAGCAGCACCCACGTTTACAGAAACCGCAATTGCGATTGCTGCAACAGCATCTACTGTTGCTGCAGCATCACCTCCTGTTGCTGCAGCAGCATGTACTGTTGCTGCTGCAGCATCGTCTTTTGCTGCAGCAACTACTACTGTTGCTGCAGCTAACTTTTCAGTGTATGGAGATGTTAAACATTTATTTTTTGTTAGGCAGAGTTACGTGTCTCTGTAGGAGACAGAAGGAGACAGAAAAAGGAGACAGAAAAAAGAAAAAGGAGACAGAAAAACAGAAAGGAGGAGACAGGCACACAAGGGGCAAACATACTCACTGTCTGTCTCCTTTCCTATTCAAACAATGCTGCTGCTACTGCTGTTGCTGCAGCTGCTGCCCTACGGTGTATGCATGCATTATAGTGGATATACAGTAAATGTAGTGTTTTAGTCAGCTGGAGAGTGTTTGCATGTAGCAGAGAGGCGGCAGCAGCAGCAAGGGACAGTGGGCTTCGGTTAGGGTCTACTGCCTAGGGTTCAGAGTTTAGGGTTTAGGGTTTAGGGTTTAGGGTTTAGCGGGAGAGGGTTTGTCGCTGCGGAAGCATTTTAAAGCATCGAAGGAGTTTGGGGCTGTCCTGCATGCAGCAAGTATCTGTTACTGCATCATCAGCAGCAGCAATGTGCTGCTGCCTCAGCAGCAGCAATGTGCTGCTGCCTCAGCAGCAGCAGCAGCAGCTGCTGCTGCTGCCTCCAGCAATAATGAGCACATTAATGTGTCTAATACACTGCAGGGGACGAAGGCAATAGAGCGGTCCAAGGGACTAAGGCCCCGTTAGGCATGCATGCATGCATGCGTGTGTTCATGCAAGTATGCATGCATTCGTGCATGTGTGCATGCGTGCGTGCACGCACATGGTGTCTTGGGTTGCTGCATGCTTGTCTATGCATGCAGCCCCAATAAGACACAATATATATAATAAGGATAATAAGACGGACAGATATTGTCGGGATTAGGAAGCAGCTAAAATGAGACAATGGGGATACTGCTGCTGCTGCTGCTCTTGCTGCTGCTGCTGCTGCTGCTGCTGCAAGGAGACACCTAAGCAAGAGTACATCCCAATTATGCTGCTGCGCCTAAGAGGAGACACTTTTCCTGCTCCTTTCTTATACCCAAACTTTCTTACGAATTTACCTTCTCCAACGGCCTCTGGGGCTTGGGCGATGCTGCTGCTCTCGCCCTTAATTGTATGCATGCATGCACGCATGCATGCAGCCGGGATGCATGCATGCATGCATGCATGCATGCATGGTTCGGGGTCTAACGGCGGCTATGGGGGCCGAATTCTCCTGCAGGAGTGTGAGCAGGGAACTGGCCGCTAGAAGATGAAGACGGAAGGGAGGAAGACAGCTGCATTTGCTGCTGCATCTGCTGCTGCTGCTGCTGCTGCTGCATCTGCTGCTGCAGCAGCTGCTGTAGTTGTTAGGTCCTTACGGCAGAGACAGGCAGGTATTGAAGGTTCTTCTCCTCCTTTTCCTCTGCCCCCCGAAAGGAAATACATTATGTCCAACTTAGTAGCTACTTCTGCATGAATGCATGCATGCATGCATGTATGCAGAAATATGCATGCATGCATGCATGCATGTATGCAGAAATCTGCATGCATGAATGCATGCATGCCCGAATAATCTGGCACTCTAATTAGATGTGTGCATTGCATGCACAGAATAACACCGTAAGTTATATATAATATATATAATATATAATATATAATATAAATAGTATATACATTATACATAATATATAAGATATATATAATATATACATAATATAATATATAATATATATGTATGTATATTAACTACGGGGTATATAAGATAAAAGTATATTATATAATTATATATATAAATAAATACAAACTATGCAAACAAAGAAAGGAAAAAAAAAAAAGAAAAAAAAAAGTGTCTCCTTCTGCCCTTAACAAATACATAAAAAAACACCACCAGGAGAAAAGGGCGGCGGGATCCGATCCCAAGGAGACAGGAGAAGTAGCTGCAATATTGGTGGTCTTGTCTCCAAAACAGCAGCAGCAGCAACTATTGCTGCTGCTGTTGCTGCTGCTGCTGCTGCTGCTGCTGATATGCCTAGGTCTCTTATAGAAAGGAGACTTGAAAACAAACGAGGGAAGAAGATCGGAAGAAAAAAAAATATCGGCTTCTTTATACTGCATGCAGCAGCAGCAGCTGCTGCTGCTGCTGTTGCTGCTGTTGCTGCTGTTGCTGCTGTTGCTGCGTTTACTGTTGCTGCGTTTACTGCTGCTGCCTGTACTGCTGCTGCCCAGGGGTCTGGGCACGCGCTGCAGGTAATGAGGTCGGGGTCGTTGGCTTATTGGCTGCTGCCTTTAAACGAATGATCGGTGCTGCTGCTGCTGCTGCTGTTGCTGCTGCTGCAAGTGTGGATGCAGCAGCAGTTGCTGCAGATGCTGTTGCTGCTGTTTTTGCTGCTGACGCGACAATTGGTGCTGCTGCTGCTCTTGCTGCTCTTGCTGTTGATGCTACGTTAGTCAGACTGTAAGAAAAGAGGGACTCCAGGCAAATGGATTGTCTCCGTCTGCAGCAGCAGTTGCTGCTGCTGCTGCTGCAACAGAATTGTCTCCATTTGCCAAGGGTTCGCTCTTTTGTGTGAGGGGAGCAGCAGGAGGGAAGCTGCTGCAGGGTTGTGCTGTTCCTGCTGCTGCTGCTGCTGCTGCTGCATTTCCAAGGGCAAGAGAAGTAGGGTCTGCTGCTGCAGTGCTGCTGCAGAGATGCGACAGACCATTTAGTGCTGCAGTAGTGTCTTCTCCCCCCTTTGTAGGAATTCCCTCTATAGAATGAGCAGCAGCTGTCCCCTCCATAGAAGCTGCGGTGCATGCAGCAGCTGCTGCTGCTGCATCCACACTGTTGCTGTTGCTGCTTGTAGTACCGAACGTGTTGCTGCCCGCAAATGCAGCAGCAGCAGCAGCAGCAGAAGCGGTTGCGGGGTTGTTGTCGGGAGGGAAGGCCCCTGCGAGAGGGGGGCCCTGATTGGGGGCCCCCCCATTAGGTGTCTCTTCTAAGGAGACACCTGCTGCTGGTGCCTCCATGGGGATACCCATTGCACCTAGGAAGAGTGCAGGAGGCCTTAGAGGAGGGTCAGTGGCTGCAGCAGCAAATTGCTGTTGCTGCTGCTGTTGCTGCTGCTGTTGCTGCTGCTGATCAGACATATCCACAACAGGAGGAGGTAAGCAACCCCACAAGTATCCCTGAGTAGGTTGTAAGACACGGCCTCCAAGGGTTTGATCTGTTCGTTGTAGCTGCTGCTGCTGTTGCTGCTGCTGTTGCTGCTGCTGCTGCAGTTGCTGCTGTAGATGTCTCCCTGTGTCTTGCATAGCATGTGTCTGCTGCATAATAAGCTGTTGTTGTTGGTTGCGGTGTATATGCTGCTGTAGAGTGTGTTGCTGATGGTGGGGTTGGTAAGGATTATTATTATTATTATTATTATTATGTGTGTTATTGGTGGTAGTAGAGGGGGGGAGGAGGAGGAGTTGGGGATCGAGTTGGGGATCGAGTGTTGGGATCGTGTCTGTGGGGTGTGTTGTTGGTTCCTCTGTATGAATAATATTATTATTAATAATATTATTATTATTAATAATATTATTATTAATAATATTATTAATATTATTATTATTATTATTAATATTATTATTATTATTATTATTATTATTATTAGGAGAAGGAGACAAAGGAGACACAGGAGACAATTGATTAGGTTCATAAGCAAATGTTTGCTGCGCTTCCTGCAGCAGCTGCGCAGGGACACTTCTTGCTTCGCATAAGGCTTGGAGACACAAGGCCCTTGCTTGCTGCTCTCCATGCTTAGGTGCAGCATATTGTCTTGTCTTCCTATGCCCGCTTACCTTATCATGCCATTCAGCACGCCAGCACCTTACTCCTCTTACTAGTAGGGAGTATATACGTCCTATTGTCCTGTTACTGCTGCTGCTGCTGCTGCTGCTGTTGCTGTGGTTGTTGCTGTGGTTTGTTGTATGGCTGCTGCTGCTTGTTGTTGTGCTGCTGCTGCTGCTGTTGTTGCTCCGGCAGGAGACACCAGAGAGACTGCTCTTACGCATACCTACACCTGAGGATGAACTACTACCTCCTCCGCTACGGGATCGTCTCCCAGAGGAGACAGACGATCCCGATCCCGATCCCACCCCACACGATCCACGAACACCAACTCCCTGGATACCTGAAGGAGCTAGAGGGGGGCCCCCCATGTACACACCATCAGGTAGTATACCACCACCCATAGAGAAACCATCTAGAGATACAAGACCCGTCTGCTGCTGCTGCTGCTGCTGCAGAGACAGCTGGGAGTCACACGGACCAAATGCAGCAGCAGCAGCAGCAGATGGATATAACATCCCTACAGACCCCACACCATTGCTGCTGTTGGCTAAGAAGGGAGAAGGGACGTTCCCCGATCCCACGCCTCCTACTGTCCCCTGCAAATCCTGTGGGGGGATCGAGTTGTTTAGACAACTCACAGCAGCAGCAGCAGCAGCTGCTGCTGCTGCTGCTGCTGC